GGACGAGCACCATGACCTCCTCACCGAACCGGAGAGGCCGAGACGCCACTAAAACAACCATCACAAAAGAAGAGACGGATAGGGAGGGAAAAAAGAAAAACAGAAAAGGGGAGAGGAAGCGCCCACACCCGACGAGTGAGCAAGGAGGGAGTTCAGAGGGCTGGGTTTTTAGAAAGAGGGAGGAGCGTCTAAGAGAGAGTGAATTTTTTTCTATTTTGAAAGTAAAGGGGGGGTGGGGTGAAAAAAAGATTTTCTATTAAAACTTCGTTAATTATTTCGTTAAACCAAGAAATTCCGTTAGTTTTTCCGTTAAACCAACAAAATTCCGTTAGATACACACTTTTTATATATAGAAAGATATTTCAACTCACGATTAAAAAAAAAAAGAAAAAGTTAAGCCTTTGGCCGCCTGAATAATTATTATTTTTTATTGCTATTATTCGAAATAATTTATGATTATTTTGTTAAGGGTTTTTTCCTCATAAAATTAAGCTCTTGTTTGAGCATCGTTTTTGAACCAAAATGCATTTTGATATAGTGTTTTATTGGAGAATATATGGTTATAAAATAAGCAAAAATTTAGATTTACATGTAAAATTATTTTATGAAAAAATATGTGGTTGAAAATGAGTTTTAAGAAAATGGGTTTTTGGAAAAATGGGGACAAACATAGCTAAGAAAAACTTAACGATATAATTTAAAAAAAAAATTCAAAAACTTAAAAATAAGTCACTTTTCCATATTTTTATTTGTCATTATTATGAAAATTAAAGGACATAGAGAGAATAGAATTTCAAGTATAAACTCCTTTATGAAAAAAATAGAGTTCTCCCTTATCTTGAGTTAGTATCAGAACCAAGACAAGGATTATTCTTTTGAAATTTTGTTAAATATACCACGACCACACTTGCACCTACGTATACGTAAACATCTTAGATTCAAGGTTATCACCACATATTTATAATACGACAAGTACACAACGATACAATCCACTTACACTTAAAAAAATTTCATAGTTTGTATGTAGGATGAAAATAAATACTAAATCTAGTAAGACTATATTATTTTAGTAATTCATCAAAATACATTTACCGTAAATTGGTTCGAGTTTTCAGTTGGTCCTCAACCTTTAAAAATATTTTAATTTGATCCCTAAACTTTTATTATAGTTGCACAATCAATTCACAATGACGAAAACTGTCAAAATCTTCATTAAGTTATCACACGACTCTCGTAAAAAAAACATCTCGAATCAAATCTTTAGGCATTAAATACTAGTTAAGAAAACAAAACCCAATTAAATAAAATTAGATATGTTAAAAGAGTCACGTAACAATTCCAACAAATTTTTGAATGACTCGTGCCATAGAAAATTGATTGTGCAAGCATAATTTAAAACTAGTGGACGACCAACTTGCTATTAGAGACGAGACTAAGGTGGAGCCCACTGTGTAATTTTGTCTAAACTCTTAATACTCCCTTCGTCTCATTTATATAAGCAGATTTTATTTTTCACACGGATTATAAAATCCTATTTAATGCAATTGAAAAAACAATTTTTGCCAAAAACTTTCTTAATTTACCCTTATTTAATTATCAACAACAAGTAGTAAATTATTATTGAAAATAGTAAAGAAAATTGAATTATTTATTTTTCAAGGGTAATTGGCACAAAACGTCCATATCTTTGACATATATTGTGGAAATCGTTATGCCCTTACCTTCAACGTTTCGTGCGCTGAAAGTCATTTTCACCATATTTTGACGATTTTACCCTCCTAATCAATATAACAAAAGCAAAAGAAAAGAAAAGAAAAATAAAAAACACATTGCAATTATGTGTCCAAACTTTTTAAAAAGTGCAAACGAGTTCAAATTTGAAAATATCATCACCCCTAAGCCGCCACCTTTGAAGCCAAAAATTCCCAGCCAACCACCGTCCAAACCACAGGACCTCTATACCATCGGAAAGCCCTCACTCCCCTCTACACATACCCATATAAAAAATCAATCAAACAACAAATAATATGGGCAAAATTAATAGAAATTCTCCTCGGTCGAGTGGGAAGTTCTTTTAGATCAAATCCGAAATTGCTTCGTTTGAGTGGTGAATTGCAGCAATTGATTCCCTACCTAGAGTCGTTACACCTTGAATTGTATGCTGGTTGGAGCAATTTGTTGATTGGAGATGTGGAGGAACATCAATTGAAAGGGTGTTGAAACGGTTAGATTGTCTTCTCTGTTTATGAATTAACTGTCATGTCCAGGAGAAATTGAGGAAGACTCGTATGCTCATTGGATGAGCCATGAAGAGTAGGAACCTGAGGTAGTGGTCCGCGATCATAGGTCCCACCACCAGCGCTGAAAAAATCTCCTAAAAGCTGCATAGAGGCTGTGTTCGAAGTTGTAGCCTGTTGGGTTTGATTGTGTGCATTAAAGGACTTTTGAGGACAATGGACATGGACGTATTGGTGTGTAGAATCGATTAGAATGTTGGGAATGGCTAGGGTATCGCCGGAATAGGTGGTGCCGACAATTTTTTCATTCGTGAGTAGGGTATTTTGGCTTGCAATTTCTACCAAATCTATTGGCATGAAGGTTGGATGTTAGGTGCTATGTGTAGAGGGGAGTGACGGCTTTCCGATGGTATTGAGGTCCAGTGGTTTGGGCAATGGTTGGCTGGGGATTTTTGGCTTCAAAAATAGGGCTTAGGGGTGATGGTTTTTTCAAATTTGGACTCGTTTGCACCTTTTAAAAAGTTTGGACACATAATTGTTATGTGTTTTTTATTTTTCTTTTCTTTTACTTTTGTTATATTTGATTAGTATGGTAAAATCGTCAAAAGGAATCCAAATTTTGTGGGATTGAGGATCGAATAGTGAAAAGGACCTTCGGTGCAACAAAACGTTGAAGGTAAGGACATAAATGCCAAGAAATGAAATGTCTGGACGATTTCCACAATACATGTCAAAGGTAGGGACGTTTCGTGTCAATTACCTTTTTTATTAAAATAATGGTCATCAAACAGAGACTTAAAAAATGTGAGTTGGAAGGACCTCTAAATGTTTTCATCCAAAAATTTGTTCGTTGACTATCCATATGTTCTTCGATCGCACATTTTTAATGGATTTGAGATGTATCTTTTACGATTTAAAGATTTGGGACATTATCTATACTATTTTGAAAGGTTTAGAACATCCACAGCAAATTTTTCAATTTTATTAAGGCAATGAACAGTTTTCAAAAATAAAGAAGTTTGATCTTTTTTGTCTTTTCAGATAAAAACTTCCCAGAAAATTCTCAATACGTTTAACGAAACATTCAGTTTTCAGCCTGTCAGTTTGTCGTTCACATTTCTATATTTGTATATACTTTTTTGTCTGTAAACGCATATAGTGACAATATAAGGTCAAAAAACGTATTTGAAGGGTCAGAAAATGAAAATTTCTTAGTACAAGAAGCAAGAAACAGTCAAATAATTATAAGCTTTTTACTACGTTGTTGAAATCAACGTCAAACTTAAGACTGTTGGTTAATTTTAAAAAGAGAGAGAATTTATTCCGTACGAACTCTGCCCCTTATATAACCACCATCAAGGAAACCAAAGTACAACATCACAACAAAGTGAACAGGCATTAGGGCTTCCTCAAAAAGTATAGAAATTAGAACCAGAAACACAGAAAGAAAAAAAAAATGCAGCGTTCAGTGGCCAAGAATTTGTTGAAACGCAATGTTATTAGCCACCAGACACTACCAAAAATCGCGCTTTCGGACAAATCCATATCTGAAAATCGTTATCGACAGATGGATGTACTAAGAAAACTCGTAGACGAACATCCCATAAATCATCGACATCCCAATGCTGTCTCCATTAGCGCCTCTTCTTCTGGTAGTGGGAGTCGAAACCAAATGATTTTGAACAAAATCATTCGAGCACCGTGTGATGTTTTCATTAACCATAGAGGCACAGACACAAAGCGAACAATGGCTTCTTTGTTGTACGATCATCTTTGCAGGCTTAAACTTCGTCCATTCTTGGACAACAAGAACATGAAACCAGGTGACAAACTATTCGAGAAAATTAATGATGCAATAAATGGTTGCAAAGTTGGGGTGTTGGTTTTCTCCCCACGTTATTGTGAATCGTATTTTTGCCTTCACGAATTGGCTCTCATGATGGAAACAAAGAAGAAAATTATCCCTATATTTTGTGACGTTAAGCCATCAGAACTCGTTGTTATCAACAATGGAAGCATCCCACAGAAGGAGGTGGAGAAGTTCAACTTGGCTATCGAAGAGGCTAAGTACACCGTTGGACTCACATTTGACTCCCTAAAGGGGTGAGATAAATCTTCATTATAATCTTTAGCCCTTGTTCGATCCCCCTTTTTTTAAATATATTTTTCTCTTTTTTTCAAACACACATTTTTCAATAAAATAATATTACACGTAATCAAAAAACTTTTTTTTTTTCATTTTTAACTACATATTCTCTTTCAATCTACTATTCCAAAATATATTCTACAACAAAAAATGGAGCTCAAATATGCCCTTAGAATCATGTTACATGTACAATCTAGTTTGAGAATATTAGTTGACAACTCACACTTGGCAACATCACATTCATCCATTTCAAAAACTTTTTTTTCAAATCAATGGCCCGAATTTTGACGAAAACAACATTGTCAATCATTATTGTCAAGTACGATTGTACAAATAGCATAATTATTATCTTTATCTTTTCTAATTAATAAATGTTTTTCTTATGATGCTTCTTTTTGTATGGTGATAGGAACTGGTCGGATGTTGTGACAAATGCTGCAAATATTGTAATCCAAAGCTTGATGGAAGTTGAAGATCACTAAATCATAGATTACAATCAAATCAATCTCTTGTGATCTTATATCACTATTCCTGCACCAGCAATTAGATAATCAATAACACCAATCTATTCTTTTACTTCCCTTTATTTCTTGTAACATAATTTTCATATTCTTTGCAAATAACAGATCACTGTGGTCTTTGTTCATGTAAGATGTATGTGCCCTTTTGTAATTATGAAAATTATATTAAATGCTGACATTAACCAGTTTTTCCTGGTATTGAATAATTATTTTCTTAATTTTCTTTTTCACTGGTACAATTTTAATTTTAAAAAAAAGAGTAGTCACAATGGTTTGAGTTGTTCTTGAGCTGATCATTTGTACAGACACAGAAGAAGAAGAAGAAGAATGCTTGAACTCACGAATACACGAAGTTCATGTTATGTTGTATGTGATTTACGTAATGTCGTATCAACTTTAGCTTAAAAGGAATTAGATTCTCACACACACACACACACATATATAATAGGTTGGAAGATTGGAATTTTGAAATCTTTGTCCATGAAGTTTGTTCATATGCAAATCATTTTCTTCATGGAATTGAGATTCAATATTATCAATAGCCAATTCAATAGTATTGACATTTTTTGAAGAAGTAGAAAGTTTTGCAAATTGAGAAGCAAGTTCTTTAAGAACATCTTCTTTGGAATTAAACTTAGGAGGAGGAATATCGTGAAAATGACAAATAGAAGAAGCAGATAAATCAACAGTCTTTTTCTTCTTTCCTTTGTCAGATGTTTGAGTTTCAGATTCAAAATTTATCTCAATTCTATTGAGTTGAGAACAAATAGATTGAAGAACCATATTTGAATAATTATTTTAAGATAATACACTTTTGACATCTTTGACGATAACCATATTATCGTCAGGTCTTTCAATTATTTTGAAGGGGGAATCAACTACTCTAGTAGTGTCATGTAAAACTACAATTTCTTGTAGTGGAGGATGAACGGATTGAAAAGTTTCTCCATCTGGAGTTTTCTAGGCCCTTTTTAAAGAAAATATCAAAAAATCTTTTTC